GTGAGAGTCTCTAAAACTTGAGATTGGATTAGTTGCTGAATTTCTTCTTCTGCTGCTGTTTCCTGGTTCTGTTCTTGTGGGGGAGAGGTTGCCTTCTCTTGAACAACTTCAGTTAGAACCATTTCAGAAGCATGTGAAGTTACCTGAAATGCAGGTGAGGTTTCCGTTTCGAAGGCAGGTGAGGTTTCCGGAAATGTTTGGAAATCCTCAACTGCTGCTTCCACAGAAGTAAGAGCCACTTGGTCTTCTGTGACTTTTGAGAAGACTGGCTTGAAGACTGCAGTGTCTTCATCATCTGCTTCACAGTCTGAAACTGGTGTATTGGCCAGGTATTCCATATGCAGGTCTTCAGGGTTCTTTTGCCATACCCAGTAGTTATTCAAAATGTCTTCATAGTTGTGGTTGACTGGTATTCCTAAGCACTTCTTGATAATCTCCTCATTCTTCAGCTGTTGGTCCCAATCCAACAGTTGCTCTGCTGAATTTCCAACTTTCCAAGCTCTCCAATTATAGTAGAGCTGCCAGAATTTGTTGTCAGCATCATCTGTATCATCTGTATGAGGCTGAGATGAGGGGGTTGGAAGGCTTTGGACTTGAGGAGTTTCTTTTTCAAGTTGTTTAGTACTCCGGTTTTGGGCAGAGGTTTCCTCAGCAGGCTCCTTCTCCTTCAACTCATCCGGATTGACATTTCCAGATGTTGATGGAGAGTTGATTTTCCTCTCCTTCTTCCTTTGAAATTCTCCATGGTCAGAGACTTCTTCTTCTTCTTCCAAACATATAAAGGCAAGGTTCTGTGGTGCTTCAATGGAGGGAGACACCACTTTCTTCCTTTTGGTAGTCTTTGTCATATGGATAAGTGGGACGTTATCTGAAGAGCTTTCTTCTGCAGTGGCACTAGTACCAGCTCTGTTTTCCCCTTTTGAAGACAGATAGTATAACCAGTATCTTTCTTCATACTTCTTTCCTTTAGAAGCAATACCCATAGACTCCAAAATATGTCCAAGGTATAGTCCTTGATAGAGATATTTCTGGTTGGGCTTTCCCAAATGCTTTGAGATGGAATTGAAAAAGTGTGCAGCCCAGTTTACCTTAGTTTTGGTAATGAGAGCGTTGATGATGAAGGCTCTCTCCTGGGTGATGTCATCGTCATGACCTCCACTTCCACATTCGAGGCAAGCGATGACCAGTTCCAAAACCAACTTGTAATCGTTGTTTAGATCTGCTTTCTTCGCCGGGCCAGAAGGAATTTGCCCAGAAATTCCAATGATGTTCCAGTCCAGATTTTTGGCTAGAAATTTCCCAATTTCAATCCCAGAGTTGGGAAGGCGAAGCTTTTCTCCCAATTTCTTCTGCGAAAGCTTCACTTTCGTACCTCCAATAGTGGACTTGATGACCGGAAATGTCCTCTGTGGGTCCTTTTTTGAATGAGCAGTTTTGACTTCTCCATTTCTGTAGAATTCAAGAACTTCTTCCTCGAATTTGAGGCGAATCTCCATTTGAAGAAATTTTGAGAGTTCTTGAGCGGCTATCATTTCCAGATAGCTTTGAAAGAATGTCGATGAGGAGCACTTGGCTTCTAACTTCTAGAAATGAATATTAGCGCCGACAACCTTCATTTTCTCAGAAATTTGAGTGAGAATTTGAAAAAATCTAAAGAAATTTTAGGGTTCTTGAGAGAATTCTGAAGAAGACGACGAAAGATTTTGAATGGGCGGTTTAGATCTGAATAGTGGCGATTGGGTTTTATTTGAGCGATTTATGCGGCTAGTGGCGATTCGGTTTTTGATTATTCCAAAGGCCACGTGCCTATCCACTATATTGACAGACGTGGAAAGTGGACTGCCACGTGTACCGCACTCAGTCTAATTGAATTAGACCAATTTTGTGAAGCAAATCGGAAAACTTGGCTTCACTTAGTGGTTTTGTGAAGATATCCGTTAGTTGTTTTTCAGTTGAGATGTACTCAATTTTGATATCTTTCTTTTCCACATGATCTCTGATGAAGTGATGTTTGACATCAATGTGCTTAGTGCGAGAATGATGCACTGGGTTTTGAGAGATGGCTATAGCACTTTGATTGTCACAAAAGATTGTCACTTCCTTTGTCTTGACTCCATAGTCTAGTAGTTGTTGTTTTAGCCACAAAATCTGAGCACAACAACTACCAGCAGCAATGTACTCTGCTTCTGCTGTTGATGTAGAAATGGAGTTTTGTTTCTTACTAAACCAAGAAACAAGATTTCCACCAATGAATTGACAAGTACCAGATGTACTTTTCCGGTCAACTTTGCATCCGGCAAAGTCAGAATCTGAGTATCCCACTAACTCAAATGAATTGCT